CAGAAATTCTTTTAAAAAATGTTTCAGGTGTTTGGTCATCTGACATTGTTCGAGTGTTGTTCGATAAGAAAAAATGCATAATTCATGAACTAATGTATTTTGTTTGTGATTATCTATCTTTCATCAAAGATGATATCATCGGTACTATGTGTAAACAAGTGATTACGATTACTAAAAATAGTAGCTGATCATTCACCTTTATTGCAAAATGGGCAAACAAGTGAAAATAAAGGTGGAAAATGAATTGGAAGTAGGGAAGATTGGTATAAAAAAAGAATAATTACCGAAGCGTAGATGGTCACTGTGAAATATTTTCGTGTCGGAGCTCAAATTGTGTGTGAAACATCCTGCTCATAATTGAGTTTGATATTTGTTTAGCTTAGTGATCGAAATTTCGAAGAATGAATTATAATTTCAGATGGATCTTAAAGCTTCAAACAAACAGGCATCGTTGGCAAGAAAGGAGGCCGTGAAGCTATCAGGTCTACCTTTTAATACGCAAGTACCAATAATGGGAGTGAAAGTGGTCCAAACACGATTTGGAGAGCTCGTTGGAAAGTGTGTCCTTGCAGAACTGGACGACTCCGTCATTTTCCATCCGCAGAGTCACCGTCTTGGTGAAAGGAAGAGAAGGTTAATTGACACCAAAGATATAATCATTGGTTTTCAAAGGGCAGAAAAACGTCTGAAAGGCAAAGGTCGTCTATCAGTTCGAGTTGATGAAGAACAAATAGGACTTGAGTGACTTTTTTTTTATGTGGATACCCAATATTGCGTAGACTGTAAGCCTTTTCTTCCGCCTCAAGCCTAGGACGTTGGTGGTCACATCGACGCACCGATCTTCGCCTAGCCTTTTTGTTTTGAACCGTCTGTTGAATCAATATGATGAATAATTTTTCGCCTTCTTCAAGTGAAGAAGATATTATATTGGGAGTCGAATTTATGGAAGCGATAAGCATATACTCATATATGCAGACCAAAAATTTCAGTACACTTCATGAATAAATAACGAAACCGATCTGGGGAATTACTATATTATGATTTGAGGCAAGATCCGAAACGATTCTCGGAGTATACGAGGAGATCCATTGCTCTGTGCTGAAAAGCGTGGGCGATAGTCGAGATATTACTGAATTGTTCTGTGGGAGGCTTCGCCTATAACAGGCTATGGGCCATGCGATGTGCAGTGCGCCGTCGTGTCCACCTACAAGAAACATTTTTGTTTTTGTGAAAAATCTATACGCTATACGAAAAATAATCCTTATGATAAGATTGATAGTAGTGAAGATTTGTATTGTCGAGAAACTTTGCAAGATTGTCCAGAGCCCAAAAAAATCATATTCGTAATTAAATATATATTTCCTACAATATCGTGCCTTATAAGTATCATTGTTAGTGTATTATCGAAAGGTGAAGTATCACATTGTGCTATTGCGAAGCATAGCGATGAGATTATCGAATTATTTCTCGAAGCTCTTGAGGTAATTTTGGATAGTACTTGGATAATTATGAGAGGAAGGTCAATCAAATATACAATAAAAAATTTAGACTATTGAATAAAACTGTTCGTGATGGTGACATGAATATATCTTCTTTGAGAAAACTCCAAAGTAACATTGGACCTTCGAAGCGATTCAGATAATTGATATGTGCCGGTAGAGGAATAAAAAATAACGGTAGAAGAAGAGAGAATCAGATGGGAAGATATTCAGTTTTAGACCGGGAGCCCAGAACGTGTTTTTTATGTCTTATGTATAAACTATCATGGACAGTCCCACTACACACCTGTGTTCATAAAAAAAATTACTCCTGGTGTACAGGGCTAGTTTTATTAATGTGAACCCCCCTCTATCTTTTTTGTTTTCCACCCATTCAAAAAATTTCAAAACTGACTATACAATTATACAGGGTATACAGAAATGAATATATTCTTCAAATGAAACGCCCTGTATATTTCGATAAATTTGAATTCTCTGAATCATCCTGATTTTAAACATATATATAGAAGGATCTTCATCTTTCAAAATATGCAGAGCATTTCATATACAAAAATCAATATATTTTTGTATACCCTGTATATTTGAAGAGATATTGCAACACTCTCTCAATATGATTGAAACCAATATAGAATATCATAAAAAAAATCAGTTCTGAATCATTTTGAATGGAAAGAAAACAAAGAAGATGAAGAGGGGTTCACATTAATAAAACTAGCCCTGTACCTATATCTATCTTCATTTTTTTATGTTTGTTTTGTTTATTCCTTATGTTTACCTTTGTATATCATGCTCCATTTTAATTCTTATTCAAATGTTATTTCAAAGCTTCTGAATTCACAATAATACTAAATTTTCGCTGGAAATATTATTCTTAAAATTATGATTGTATGTAGAGGTTGGATGGAAGAACAAGAATCGAATTCGATTTCCTGATGGATTTCTAGTTCGTCTTTTGAATCCTGCCTTTTGATAGGGCTTGTATTTATTTATTGATTATCCTATCAATAAAAGTCATTATTATTGTAAGCATCATATTTGACACTTCACCCAAGCGGCTCCCACCCTTTGGTCCAGCGAGGTCATATCCGTGTAGCGGAACGTGGAATTTTGGGGGTTCTTATACTGCTAAGTGTGAACAAAATAAAACACAAAAAACATGTTGTGGGCTCTCAGTCAATCGGCATGTTTTGTGGAGGATTCCTAAAATAATATCTGAATACTAGAATGTAAAAACTTCACAAACGATAAGATTTCCACAAAATTTTTATTAAACACACGACATATTTCGCTAACACAGTAGCTTCGTCAGGACTGGTACAATGAACTAAACTAACGTTGGCTTGCTTAACTTTTATATATCTCACCTTCCCAACCTGATGGATTAGTTACCTGTGGACAGGTACGATAAACCTCCATTTTCGGATGTCATTTCAAATAAACTGGATAAGTTCCGAGAGCGAAAGAGTGGATGGACTCTGCAAAAAATAATTAATTTCAATACGATCGAAATGGGCTATGGGGGTTCTTCTTATATCAAACTTCCTGACCAAATTATTCGCAAACTTGCTTGTATTAACATTAAAAATTCAGATGAAACTTGCTCTGCTTGGGCAGTCTTATTTATATCCTGCAGGAAAAACATCTGAAAGAACTCAATCGCTTTCTCATTTTAGCGAGGTTGTGGATATAATTGGAATTAACATGTCAATAAGACTGAAACAGATTATTCGAAATCCTGAACAATCTATCAATCAATTGATTCATATTAGAAACCCATCAATTTTAATCTTGTTTACTGTATCTGTGAGAAACACTGAGAATAAGATTCTGAATAGGCATTTCAACCGTCGGATGATTCAAAAAGAATATTCCAATGATGAGAATTCAGAAGGTGACAGAAGAAATGTCATTACTTGATCATATCATCGAAGATGAGGATTCTATGGAATTCATCATTTTTGCTGGATAAAGAACCTATCACGATTAGTTTTCAGGCAACTTGGGTAAAAAAAGGTGAAAAAAAAATCATTTGAGATACATGTTCAAATTACTTCAAAACCCAAGAAGAATTAAATGCTCATGATATACACGGTGGTACAACGAAAACTTCAATATGAAAATCCGAAAAAACGCTCAGACCCCTCGATTTCTGATTCGAAGGGGAACTTGTCTGCTTTCTTCATCCCCGTAACTTCAACCCCCCTACCAGGGTAAACACAACCCCCTGATTCTGAATATGGATGAGGGGTGTTGCGATAACTCATTTTGGAAATTTCATCGAGTACTATCCAACCCTCTAATTTCGCGTCAAAATTTTCCTCGATATGGAAATGAGAAATAAAATAGTGAAAGGGGCAACTTTGAATTCACCTCGAGAATATTATTCTTATCAAACTTTTTTTGTGACAAAAAATAACAACAATGCTGGATGGTGACTGGATATTTAGGAATTTAAGGATTTTGAGGGGGATCTGTTTGTGGTATTTCTTCCACGGTCAGCTGGTATGCTCCCAGTATATTCGATCTTTTGTGGTGTACATCATAACACTCCATCAAAATGTGGTGGGGTGTTACTGGATTCCTTAGATTTTTCTTTGAGTCTACAATGCCCCGTTAGAAATCCCGTTATTGCTTTGAGACTAATTTTGCTGAGGTTGATCAGTGTCTTCGATGTTGCTCGGTTGAAATTGCCGAGGAGATCTTTGGCCTGGCGCAGTCCTGAAAAGTCTTCGCCAGTGTGTTACTCTCATTGCTTCTTCAGCTTTATTCAGTTCTTCTTGGAAATTTTCCACCGCCACAGAATGATTCTGGTCCAATCAGAGGCGTTGATGCTCCTTTTCGTGCCAGAATGTCTGCTTGTTCATTTCCCTTCACTCCAATGTGCCCCGGCACCCAGAAGAGCTTACTGTTCTTGCCTAGATTGTTGAGTTTGTCTAGGCATTCCAAAACCATCTTTGAGTTGATGTTGAAGGAGCTCAACGCTTTGATGGCTGCGTGGCTGTCGAAAAGGATAGCGATTTCTTTGTTCCGGTATTTCCTGTCGAGTTGGAACTGAATGCACCTTTCTATGGCGTGAATTTCCGCTTGAAAAACGCTGGGACACTGGCCCATCGCTTGGGAATATCTAGTGCGAGGCCCAAACACTCCTGCTCCAGTTCCCTCGGGTGTTTTAGTCCCGTCCGTATACCATATCATGATATTCTTTCCCAGTGCTTGGATGGATAATGTGCTTAGTTTTGTTCAGAAATTGAAATTGAACTTCCTGATAATTTCATCAGTTGGGAGATCGGCGAGGTGTGCACTTTCAGTGGGCAGTGAATCCCTCACGTTATGTGCTTTCCCATTGAGCCCGGCCTTCTCCGATCTGAAATGTGCTTCCCAAGCAGTTTTCCTCACCATGATGTGGAGGGGTGTGAGGTCCAGTATGACCTCTAGTGCTGCTATTGGGGTCGATCTCATTTTTTGTTTATCTCCTGAAGCGCACGCAAAGAAATTCCTATAATGTTCGTGGAACATCGCGCGTACCTACGGAGGATTGGGAGAGGAGGTAGGTGTTCGGATTTTTTTGTATTAATTCACTTGAAAAAAAAAACAATTTCAATTTCCTGAACAAAATACCAAAAACCTCACAGAAAACATTTTATTTTTCAAAATTCTTGAAGCATTGCAATACAAAACATGCAGCTTATAACTTATTAAGGAGAGTTTGAATTAATTCATGACTATATTTAAAAAAAGGTCATTTGAAAAAATTCTCGCATTAAATCACTGAATCAATTCATATGAACTAATTCATAACAACTCTGCTAGAATCTTTTAATTCAAGCGAATTACGAAATTTTTGGCACTGCTGATAACAGTTCAAATTTGATTGGAATTGTTTGAATAATATATAGCTTAGTGAAGAGATGGTCATCCATTGAAGTGAGACATGCTCTGTACATGGTGTTATACAGATTCTAACCGGTAAAATTTGATAGGCGATAGCACTCGCAAAAATGAAAAAATGTTCATATAATGTTATGAAAAATCCTCTTGAGGTGTCTAACAACACAGTGTTATTATTGAATGTGAAACATTCAATGATAGTTCCGTAGGTTATTCTCAAAATCTCCGAATTATACTTATTCTGTCATTCGAGTACCTACAGTAAAATTTGGATTCATGTCAGCTCTTCATTTCTTCTTTCTCCTACACAACTCCTGGTACATGAAAGCAGTTCCTTCTATAGTTAAATCAGAAAAAATTGGCATAAATATTCATCAGGTAACCCCCTGGGGCCAGAAGATACACTTTATTCATATTACAAAACTGAAAATCAGTCGAAGAGTTTCTGAGCTGTGAATGAAAAACTATGTTTTTATAAAAATCCAACACCTTTCATCTCGAAAACGAAGCTCCAAAACGTGAGAGTGATTATTGAATGCAAAAAATTCAATAATAGTTCCGTAGCCTATTCTCAAAATCTCCGAATTATACTTATTATGGCCTTCGAGTACCTACATTACAATTTGGATTCATGTCAGATCTTCATTAGTTCAAGTACTGCATGTCCTTTTATCTTCCATTCGACTTCGCGGTTACGTAAATTACTAAACAACCATTTAATTCGGAATTTTTCAAAATCAAATTACAGAATTAGACTAAGATATATTTGGTTACTTCAAAAGAATGATTGAGATGCCTCCAAAAAGATGCCTGCAACGCAGGTGTCATTCCTGTTAAAAACTTCAAATTTCACGTCGATAATTTTCTGATTTCAATATAATGTAATATCTTCCTCAATATTGATTCGTCCTTTTTCCTGTCGCAGAAAAAAATAGTGTATTATACACGGGAAAATATTAGATTTTAGTTCACGGTTTTTGTCTCCCGACGCGTAGCTACTTTTTTCCCCTGCATAATAGATAACTATTTTTCACAAAACTTCAACACCTTTTATCTCGAAAACGCTCCAAACCGTGAAAGTTTAGATGAACTTTTCTTTTCATTTTTACGAGTTTTATCGCTTATTAAAATTTCTCGATTACTATCTGTAACACCCTGTATAATGAAAGTTTATTTTTGCAGGTTTGAGCGATTTAGATGTAAAACTCCGATATCCAATACAAATTTCACACACTCAGATTGCATCTTCCAATTCAACTAGTTCAGAGCTTACCGTTGACGACCCCCATTTGAAAAAAAATCTACCAGATTTGAGTCACCACCCTCTAGTAGTTGGGCCCAGATATTTGGATGAAGATCTAACAATGAGCTGGTCAAATCATTTAGGTTGGAACACTAGCGGAGTATTGAGTAAGTATATCTACTACAGAATTAAGTAATGCACATAACTTATAGTCACAGTCAGAGATTTGAGTCACGTGACATCCTGGGTAGGAGCACCGAACATAAACAGATACTAGAAGGACCACTCTAAGCTCCGCCCGAAAATTTTCCTTCCTGTCCCGTCACCGATCTCAGCATTTCTCGGCACTTTCGCGTATACCGATCTTCTTCACGTTAGGCTTCTGGGTAACTTATGTTGAAGGCTGTAACAATAAACCGTTGCATGGGATTCATTCAAAAATATTTCATCTGCACATTCATGTGAACATTTTCTATTGGAATATATGTTATCCCTGTATACGAGAGTTTCTATTTATTATACTATAAAATTCGCTGACCGTGATATTAAGAATAAAAAATTTGATAAGCCAAATATAAAATTGAATATCTTGCAGAATTTGTAAGAATATTCATTGGAAGTGTTTTTTTGTTCAAAATATATATAATATTAGGAATATATTTTGTTATAAACGTTTCATTTTGTCTCTGTTATTACGAAAGGGTCAAACTCGTTTTCTGGTAAAAAAATCTGTCATGTTACTTTTTCTTGAAAAACACCTATTCATTTTGTTAGTAGGTACTGTTATTGCTTTCAAGAAAGGGCCTAAATCATTCAATATTCTATTAAAACAAAACACGTGAAATTAATTATTAATAATAAGCATTTTGGCTTCTTCTTATCTACCTCATTGTGAAAAACTGTATATAATGAAACATCATGCATGCCAATGATAAAGCCAAAATAAACAGCACCTTTTTCTTTGAGTCTCTCTCTTGAGAAATATCGAGACAGGCACCTTCGTAATAATAGCGGCAATTAGTTCGTTATTAAGGTCACATATTGTTCTTGTTTTTCTTCATAAGTTGAAAATAATGGAAATATAATAACTATATTATGAATGTTTCATTCTCGATACAAAATATCTCGTAAACGGACCTTCTATGCTAATATTCATAATATTAAAAAAATTATGTATTATTCAGATTACATTATCATTGAATCCCGTAGCGAAGCCTATCACTGCAGTATGAGCACGGCATTTCAAGTGAACCTCGTAATTACTCGAAACCAGCTGCAGGTGACGCCGCTTTTGTGAGCGCTACATGACAGTTCCGCCTGAAAGTGAACCTTCTAGTCTCTGTTTAGATAGATAGATAGATAGATAGATAGATTGCTTCATTAAAAGAAGTGTACTCATACATTTACAATACACAAATATAATTAAATGAACTGGCGTCAAATGATATGATGTTTGTTAACAAACGAACATCTGAGAAATAAGGTACTGAAATCAGTATCAGAAAACGAACATGTTTAAAATCACATACTCAATGAGTAAAATGAAGACAATTGATTGATATCCAAAATACTAAAATACACTAAAAAACCGGTTGTAATTACATTTTTAGTAAGTAAAATGTTTATGTTCGGTGGTAGGAGGAAGTCTTGCGATCAAATTCCTCAGGTGTGGCTTTCTTGTGGAAGAATATTATTACTGCATTTTCGTGGTGTGAGTTGTGTCTGGAGGAGTGATCAGATTTTATTTTCGAAACTTTAATGAATTATACTGTGTCATGAACCTATTAGTGACAAAGTCAATATGTTTGGTTGACTATCCAACAGTATATTAAAATATAGGATGGTACTCACATTACTGATATAAAACTAATAGCCTCTTTGAGCTTCACATTACTAATTCATGTTGAGTTTATCATCATTGAAACATATACCTGTCAACTTTTCTGAAAAAATATTGCTTCTTAGTGATAAACCGAAAATCCTACTCCCACTGAAAATTATTAATGTTTGAAAATTTTTAAAATTTGCTCCAATCTTGAGTCCTTTATGCTGCAACTCAGAAAAAAACTAGAAAAACGTAAAAATTGTCGTCGACGAAATCTTTTGCAGTTATGGATGTACCAGGTGATTCGATAAAGGTGACGAAGTACTGTATATCAGGTTTTAATAGTGTAATGATATTTCCCTTGGAGGCGCTTTAGAGACATCAGCAGGAAGGCAGGAGTACAACGATCATCCTGTATCACGCATCCCAGATTGCTCTCCAACCTCTCAATGATTCCTACATACACCAACATATTTCCGAACACTCAATATATGCCGCAGTGACAAAGAACGTCACAGAAGATTCTGGAATGTTCTGGAAACAATCGATGGAACAATTAGAGAGAGAGGTTTGTTCTAAGAAGCTTCTAGAACAAAAAGAGGGAGACGGAAGAACATTCGAGAAGGTTCTCGAACCAAAGCCTGTCTAGTTATCTCATATATAAACGGCCGAATAACTGCCGTCAGTCAGTCAAACAGCGAGTGTCAGAGAGACAGTTATATACCGCGTGTTATAAATCGTTTTACATAAATAGTAGTTATAAGTTCGATATAAATTAGTGTTTCTTTAGTTTAAATAAATAAGTTCGAAAATAAATAGTGTCGTGTTCGCTTCTGCACCCGAATAACGTAACAATTGGTGTCAGAAGTGGGATATTCCAGTGTGAAGTGAACAGACCGTTGCAATGAAGAAACTACACGAGTTGAGAGTGGTGGACTTGAAACGCGAGTTGGAGGAGAGAGATCTCGATACAACAGGGATCAAGGCTACACTTCAGCATCGTCTCATAGAGTATATGGTGAGCGTAGGTCAGGACCCAGAGACGTTCACCTTCGAGGAACCAGCTTCAGCGGAATCGATGTTGGCTGGGATCTCGGAACAGATAGCGGCTCAGCGACAGGACATAGCGGCTCAGCGACAGGAGATTGCGGCTCAGCGACAGGAGATTGCGGCTCAGCGACAGGACATTGCTGATCAGATGGCAACTCAGAGAGAAGAAGTTCTGGCACAAATTACTGCTCAGCAAAATCAAATCGCATCGCAGATCTCAGCTCAACGGCAAGAGGTATTGGATCAGATATCGGCTCAACGGGAAGAGATATCAGCTCAGAAAGAGGTACTAGTTCAGTTTTCTGCTCAGCAAGATCAAATCGCCTCCCAGATATCAGCCCAGCGAGAAGAGGTATTAGCTCAGATTTCTGCTCAGCAAGATCAGATAGCCTCTCAGATATCTGCCCAACGAGAAGAAGTATTGACCCAGATATCAACACATCGGGAAGAGGTGCTGACTCAGATTGCTGCTCAGCAAGAACAGATCGCGTCTCAGCAGGATGAGATTATAGCTCAGGTATCAACCCAATTCACCACCCAGATTGAAGAAATGAAGAAGGAGCTGCAGCTCGAAAGAGAAAGAATAGCTGTGCTGGAGAAGTCTGGAAATGGTCAAGGACTCATGAATGAAACCACAGTTGGGCCAGATCTCGGGCCAGATGCAGTGACTACTACCAATCGAGTAAAACCACCAACATTCGATGGAAAAACATCGTGGCCGAACTATCTGAAGCAGTTCGAAGCAGCTTCCAAAGCCAATGGGTGGACATCCAAGGACAAGGTTGTGGCTCTGACAGTAGCTCTACGGGGTGATGCTTTGAACATCTTGCAAGCCATTCCGGAAGGTGAAGTCGATAGCTACGATCATCTCGTCAAACGTCTCGACATGCGAAATGGCCATGAACATCTGCAGCAAGTGTTTCAATCACAAATGAAGAGCCGTCGACAGAGAGCCAACGAGAGTCTTCAAGAATTCGAGGTGGATGTAGCCCGATTGGTCCACTGTGCCTACCCGTCAGCCCCAGAGTCCCTTATGGAATGTCTAGCTGTTCAAACGTTCGTGGATGGATTGCGGGATATCGAAATGCAGAAAGCAGTTCGCCTGACTCGACCAAAAGACCTCACCAGTGCTCTGGCAGCTGCGCTTGAGATCGAGGCTGCAGCAGAAGCTTCCCGAGGATCAGCGAGAGTCCGAGCAATGAACGACAGCGGAAACATAGCGGAAAATACCAGGCAAGATCCTACTGAAGCCTTAATCAACGCCATCCAGGGCCTCTGGAATAAGAAGAGGAGACCGGTACGTTGTTGGAATTGCGGGGAGTTGGGCCACCTCCAGAGAGCTTGTAAACGTGCGAAACAGGCTGCTGAGGAAGGATCATCTTCCACGCAGCCGCAGGAAAACTAGAGCGGGTCGACTTCGAGGGGGCAGCTTCGACCCGTAATTCTCAAGACCCTCTCATCTTTGTGGCATCCCTACGGCGTGATAACAGCAGCATTTACGTAGATGGACTGATCGACGGAAAGAAATGCGCATTGTTGGTGGATACTGGTGCATCGAAGACAATCCTGCGACGTGGACTTCTGACGTCTTCAAGAAAGCATCTTCTGAACTCAAGATGGCGTCTGAGAACTGCTACGGGTGAAGCTGCCACCGTTTATGGGGAAATCGATGTGGATATATCGATCGGGACCGTCAAATTTCCACATCGAGCTATCATGGCAGATATTGAAGAAGATGTTATCCTGGGAATGGACATCATGGGTGCGCAAGGAATTCAACTGGACTTTAGGAGCCGAACACTCAAGGTGGGTGCCGAAGAGATCTTCTTACATCCACGGGTGGAGGTAGCGGCAGGGGTAACGTTAGAAGAGGACGTCCTGTTACCGAAACGGAGCGAGACCATTGTAGCAGCGCGGATTGAGGGTAAATTGGAGCAAGGCAGTCCCATCATCATGGAACCCAGGAACGATGACGAGGAAGTTGGACGTGGAATTTTAGTCGGCAAGGCTTTACTGTCAGCAGACGACCATGTACCTGTTCGATTCATCAACATAAATAATTACCCTGTGACGATTGGCAAAGGAACGAAGATTGGAACCTGTGTCCCGGCAGCCTCCATAATCCACCAGGTGACAGCAACCACTGATGGGGCCGGCAAGTATGAAGAACTCGTATCTGCTGCAAGCGACTCACTCAACAACCGACAGAAGAAGAAGTTAACCGAGTTACTGCAGAGGTATAGATCCATTTTCATACCTGCCAATGGAAAAACAGGTAGAACCAACATCGTCAGTCACAAAATCGATACGGGAGATACCAGACCGATTCGTCAACCAGCCCGAAGATTACCACAGGCCAAGAGAGAAATTGCAGAAAAGATCATCCAGGATATGGAACAAGACGGAGTAATCGAGCCATCCAATAGTCCTTGGGCTTCACCAGTGGTACTAGTGAAGAAGAAAGATGGAAACACTCGTTTCTGCGTGGACTATCGCCGATTGAACAACGTGACGAAGAAGGACAGTTATCCTTTGCCTCGAATTGACGACACACTCGACACGTTGGCGGAATCGAATCTTTTCTCTACTCTGGACCTGAAAAGTGGATATTGGCAGGTGGAAATGGATCCGGCAGATAAGGAAAAGACAGCTTTCACCATCGGCACTGGATTATGGCAATTCAAGGTCATGCCTTTCGGACTCTGCAATGCTCCGGCTACCTTCGAACGAATCATGGAGAATGTGTTAAAGGGGACTCTCCTGGAAGACATGCCTAGTTTATTTGGATGACATCATCGTGATCGGTAAAACTTTTGAAGAACATCTGGTTAACCTAGAGGAAGTTTTCAAGAGACTTCAGGCTGCAAACCTCACACTCAATCTGAAGAAATGTCATCTGCTGCAGAAACGGGTTAACTACTTGGGACACGTTGTAGGAAGGCAGGGTGTGGAAGTCGACCCTGAGAAAGTACGAGCAGTGAAGCAATGGCCAGTACCAACAGATAAGCATCAACTCAGGAGCTTTCTTGGACTCTGCACTTATTATCGACGTTACGTTCGAATGTTTTCGGATATCGCAAAGCCTCTGACTCGTCTCACCGAGGAAGCACGCCCCTTCCACTGGGATCCAGAATGCCAGGCCGCCTTTGATGCTCTGAAGGAATGCTTGACCACGACACCGATTCTTGGGTATCCACTTCCACAAGGACAATTTATTCTTGACACAGATGCCAGTAATATCGGCATTGGTGGTGTCCTTTCGCAGTATCAAGATGGGCAAGAGCGAGTCATCGGTTACTTCAGTAAGGTGCTATCGAAGGCAGAACGAAACTATTGCGTTACCAGGAGGGAACTATTGGCCATGGTGAAATCAGTGGAGCATTTCTATAAGTACCTCTATGGGCGAAAATTCCTTCTCAGGACGGACCACGCTGCATTGAAGTGGCTCCTGAATTTCAAGAACCCCGAAGGCCAAGTAGCTCGTTGGATCGAGAGGCTTCAGGAATATGACTTCGAGATAGCACACCGAGTGGGGACGAGCCATAAGAATGCAGATGCATTGTCCAGAAGACCATGTCCACCTGAGTGCTCACATTGTAGTCGTTTGGAGGATAAGGAAGCAGCCCTCTACAGAACCACCGTTGTCAATGAAGATTGGTTACCTGCAGCAATCAAGCAAGAGCAAGAAAAGGACCCAGAACTTCGGAAGCTTCGAGAATGGAAGAAAGCGAATCGCCGTCCTTCTTGGCAAGAAGTAGCACCATCTTCACAGACTTTGAAGGCGTACTGGAGTCAGTGGGACTCCTTGGTATTAGAAGATGACCTGCTCAAGAGGAATCTCGAGAGCGATGATGGGTCAAATAATCGAATGCAGTTGGTCATTCCTAGGAGCCGAGTGTCGGAAGTACTTGGATATGTACATGATGGAACTTCAGGAGGACATCTAGGAGTGAGGAAGACACTGCAGCGGGTACGAGAGCGGTTCTACTGGGTGAACTGCAGTGACGACATCAAGGAGTGGTGCCGTAAATGCACCGTGTGTTTTGCCAGCAATGGGCCTCATCGTAAACCAAGGGCACTCATAAGACAGTACAATGTTGGAAGTCCTTTCGAGAGGATTGCTATGGATATTGCGGGGCCGTTTCCAGTGACTGATAATGGAAATAAATACATCCTTGTCTGCATGGACTACTTCACCAACTGGGTGGAAGCGTATGCGATCCCTAACCAGGAAGCCGTAACTGTCGCCGATGTCCTGATGAATCAACTCATCAGTCGTTTTGGGGTGCCATTGGAACTTCACTCTGATCAGGGCCGGAACTTCGAGAGTGAAGTGTTTAAGAAGATGACCGAGAAGTTAGGAATCAAGAAAACAAGAACAACTCCATTGCATCCACAGTCAGATGGCATGGTGGAGCGAATGAACCGAACCATAGGGAGGTATCTCTGCAAAGTCGTTGATCAACACCAACAAGACTGGGATCAACATCTTCCTTTCTTCTTGATGGCCTACAGATCTGCGGTACAGGAATCTACAGGACAGACTCCGGCGAAGGTTCTATTTGGACGAGAGATGAGGCTTCCATGTGACTTGGTCTT